ATAAACCTATTGTGTAATGGTTGCACAATTAGATCTTACTGCTGGACTCTGGTTTAAGTAGAGTTTGTACATTGTAATTATATTGTGTGCTGAACCTACCAGGCGCATCATGTGCAGGCCGAGTATTGAAATTATATTTGCCTTGATAAAGTTTAGGATTTTGAAGAATGGACTTTGTATTTAGTAAGTTGGACCTAAGTTTTCTGAGGTATTTATAAGTGGGCAATGTGTATAGTTACCACTTGGCAGCTTACTGAACACAACTAAAGAAAGTATGAACTGGCCCAGGCTAGTATCTTGATCATTTTACTTTTGGCATTTTATTATGTGTTAAACATAATTACGTCGTATATGTTGTTTTATGCCGTTGTGTGTGAATTTTTCTGGGCAGTAGTTTTTAGTAGTTTTTGGCAGTAGTTTTGTATTATTACCGAAGTGAATGACTTTTTACAGTTGTAACTTTAGTCTTCGAAACTAAAAAATGCACTAGATCTTTCTGAGTTGCAAGTTGTTTTTACATTCTGTCTTGTTTGTAGCCGGCTTCAACCAAGAACACAGCGGCGTGCCGTCGCCTGATGTTTCCGAGCGTAATCTCCCCGAGTAAGTAAATTCTAATCTGTACTAGTTAGTTTTAACCGATTTTCAAGATGTGTTCATTAAGTTTACCGACTGAATATGATCAAATTTTCAAACTTCTTGAAAAAATGGCGAGTTAAAGTATTACTGGACTAATCGGTAGTATACCTATTTTACCTCTTGCGTCTGAGATTATTTTCCATGATATTGTTGTGACACTAAACAACTCAAAAGAGTTCGTCTCAAATTTAGATCATCAGACCTTAGACCTTATATCTAGTGGGTTTTAAAAATTTGGAGTAAGATCTATGCTTTGGGTTCAGATATGGATAAATTGCATTTTCCAGATTCTCACTCAAATAAAGTAGGTGTGCTTAGAAACTACCCGAGACTTTTTGCCACAGGGTATGGTACTGTGGATAAAATTATGCTAAGCTATCCCAGTTTGATACAAGCGGCAACAACAGTGATCACCAAAAAATTGATGTTCCTATTTTATCTGCTGGAGAGCTCAAGATTTTCGAGGTTCGAACATATTTGTGGAGAAACATTTGAGTATGTTCCACGTGTCTACAGTCTTGAGCTTCATTCACTTGTAAAAAACTGGAATTGTTTGTCTGTTTATCTGTTCTGTCTGCAGTGGATCTACCGGACGATTACCAACCAAAGGTATTAAAATCACGAAATCTGATTGTTGAGAATAAAGTGATTAGTGGGATTGAGAACAAATCACTTTACTTTATTCTCAACCATCAGATTTTGTGACGTTAAAACCTTTGGTTGGTAATCGTCCGGTAGATCCATTGCAGCCAGAACAGATAAACGTTTCCAGTTTTTTATAAGTTTATAAGTGAATGAAGTTCAAGACTGTAGACATGTGGAACATACTCAAATGTTTTTCCACTTCGAACCTCGAAAATCGTGACCTGCAGAAAATAGAATTCCTAATTGTAATATTGATCGAGCAATTTTTTGGTGATCACTGTTGTTTTTACCCAAACAATATTTGTATCAAATTGGGATAGCTTAACGTAACTTTATCCACAGTACCATACCTGCCTTGGCAAGGCAAAAAAGTGTCGGGTAGTTGCTAAGCACACCTACTTTATTTGTTATTTGAGTGAGAATCTGGAAAATGCAATTTATCCATATCTGAACCCGAAGCATAGATCTTACTCCAAATTCCATCGTAAGATTTTTAACAGATGATCTGAATTTGAGCACGAGCTCTTTTTAGTTGTTCAGTGTCACAATAATATCATAAAAAGTAATCTCGCAAGAGGTAAAATAGGTATACCGATTAGTTCAGTAGACACTTTAACTCGCCATTTTTTCATGAAGTTTGAAAATTTGCTCATATTCATCGATCCCAATGGAAACTTTAATGAACACATCTTGAAAATCTGTTAAAACTAACTAGTACAAATTAGAATTTACTTGCTCGGGGAGATTACGCTCGGAAACATCAGGCGGCGGCGCCGCCGTGCTGTGCAGTAGACTTGAGGAGGCGTTGCAGAGAGAGAGAAAGATGGGTACTCTGAAATTTGTTAGCATATGAGGGAGATAGAGTAAATTTGAGCGAGATGATTCACTAAACGACAAAAAATGTATTTTTAGTCACCATAACGAACTATCACGTCCCACACACTATCGCACACATGTATTTCTTTTCATAATATTTATTTTATAAAATGTGCCTTTTTATAATATTTCTATTACACACTATTGCACACACATGCCTTTTTACATGTGTTTTAAATAGCGCAATTTCGCGCGCTACGTAACGCGTTATAGCGCATTTTTACTTATGCTATTACCTGTATTGCTCACGCTATTTGGGCAATAGGCAAATAATAAAATACAAAAATAACATAGGGCAGAAAGTGAATTTTGATTGTTTTCTCTTGCAAAAATAATTAGTTGAAAAATTGAAATCAACGTAGTTAGGATTGACCTTTTGGACTATTAGAATCATAGGATGTTTATGTTTCCTAAAAGTGAAACGAGAAGATTACTCCCCTTTTTCTCTAAGTGATGAGCAGATACAAGAATTTGATGAAATTGTACCAATGATTTTATAGTGAAAATTTCCCTAATTGTTGAGAATAAAGTGATTTGTTGAGAATAAACGTTTATCTGTTCTTTTTTATTGTCATGAACCTCCTAAAGCATTTCAATTTTAATAAAAAATCCTCTATTAAACAATCAAACAACAAGATTAACCTTGACACGCAGAAAGCAACTCAATTGCCCGAACAATAAAAAACACAAATTTGCCAATAAGAACAGAACAACAAATACAAAAAATGACAAAGGGGTGTGATCGAATTATACCGGCAGCCATTGCAAAGATAGAAAATTTCATTCTTTGCTGTTTGGTTTGCAAAGCTGAGAGCCTCGCAACAGTAGAATCGAACCTCAGGCTCTCGAGAAAAGAGGAAGAAAGGGCTCGAACCCTCTGGGAAGAATAACTCCACTTGTCGCGTTCAAAGGTCTTCTTGAAGATCCATTAAAGTTGCAGACAGCGTTGGTTGACAAATTCATAATCGACTCAGTCTATACAGCCGCCATTTTCCTATCTCCACAAGAAATTAAAGATTGGGTTTTTTCTTATGAGGGAAACTGAAAATTTTGTGGCGAAAATAAATTGCAAACTTTTTTTTTTTTTTTTGTGATGAAATTTGTTCCGTCATTTATATAATAATCAAAAAGGGGCTTATGTGCCTCGATTTGACTGCTAAGGTTTAAGTTTGAATTTGTTTAAGATTCGTTAGATTTGATAAAATTGAATAACATAATTTTATGAACTTTTATCACATATTATCTCGAGTTCGAACAACGAGTCAAACTCGACTTATTTATTAGTTCAATTCGATAAAGGCGAGATAGGCTCAATGTGAGCTCGAGTTAGAGCTTCAGTATCAAGAACTCCAGTATGAAAAGTTCAACAACAATTGGGCTCATTTTCAGCTCTAGCCTCTAATAGTTCAATAACAATTGGGCTCATTTTCAGCTCTAGCCTCTAATAATTAGTGATCTTATGATTTATTTATCCTTCACTCATCACGATTGCTGTTATTAAATTTAATTGGATTTATTTACAACAAATTCATTGAAACTTTGTAAGAAAAAGATCTTTTTTTTTAATCCATGAAAGATTTCATTTGTCCTGCAGTTTTAATGGACATAACTAAGCAGATTTCGAGGGAGCAATTACAAATTGTAATTTTATGTTTAGACCTTAACGAGTGCGATTCAGGAAAATTTGAGGTTATTAATGTGAATTGTGATCAACAATATTTTCTGGCACTCAAAAGTATCCACGTCACCCAAAATTGCAACCTCACAAGTCAAGAAGAAGGCAAGCGAAATCTGGAAAAAATATCAATATTTTTTTTTTTTTTTTCTTTTTTGGGAATTGTTTTGTATGATGGTCTGGCCTTCATTAGAGCATCCACAATGCTTTGGGTCTCTTTTTGTATATGTGGCATATAATTGGACTTGAGTTTTAAATGACATGGACAAACCCAAGTAAAAAACTCAAAAACTTTGCAATGCAAAAATAAAGAGACTAGGTCTAGCATACATGTCAACCACTAGAAGTGCTCTAATATGTTTTATTCATTAACAAAAAATTAAATTAAGAACAAATGATGAGTGTTTGGGTTTGTACTTGGGTCCAAAATAGACCCAAGTGTGGACTTAGTCTCTTTTTTTCATTGCCACATAAGCTAGACCATGTCCAATTTTAATTGCATTGAGAAGTATTTTTTTATAGACTAAGTCTATTTTCCATGTGGCATGTGATTTTTTGTTAAGAGACCCAAAGCATTGTGGGTGCTCTTAGAGCATCTCCAATGGTCATTCTCTTGTTCCATTTTATTGTCACATGGCACAAACAATCCTATATGACATGAAAAATGTCTAGAAGGCCTTCTAGATGTAGAAGCCATTCTAGAATACTTCTACTACTTATTATATATTGTTTATTCATTTTTTCTCTCTTTTCCACCCAATTATAATTTTACACATCACAAATGAAACCACAATTCACACTAAACCATTGGAGACATAAATTTTTTTAATTTTCTTTCTCTTTGTAATTTAACACAAAATGGACAATATTTCATTGGAGATGCTCGTCCAAATTGAGAAAATTGTAGGAGGTAGCCAAATTGAAAATATTAAAATCCTGCAATTTGTTTTGTTTATTAATTTTTATTTAGAAGCCCAAGTCCCAACTGGAAGCCCATCCCTTTTTATCTTATTTGCTAGCCCATGTTGAGCTTCTTCTACCTCGCTCACTCTGTCATTATTATCAGTTATAATCCCCAAATCCCGACGACTAACATTTTCTCCTCTTAAAGAACCCTAATTTTCCCTTTGTCATCGTCGTTTAATTCTTATCCTGTTTTCCTCTCACATGGATTCTTTGCTGGCTAATTACGCCTCCTCAGACGACGACGACCAACCTTCTCCCCGAGTGCTGTCGGAAAAACCAGTGAGATCCGAGTCCATAGCCGGAGTCGCTAGAGATGAAGAAAATTCTCCTCCAAAATCTACACCAACACGTGGCGGGATCTTCAACTCTCTCCCGCCTCCCAAATCTTCCCTCTTCAATTCGCTCCCCCCGCCCAAATCGAAGCCCTTCACTAACCCTAAGCCCCAAATCGAATCGGAGCATCAGAGAGAAGTTAACGGCCGCGACGAGCAAAATGCTGGAAATTCGAATCCCAAACCTTCATCCGCTTCGCTGTTCTCTTCGCTACCTCGGCCCAAATCGTCTTCATCGTCCTCCTCATCATCTACTGCGAAAAGGGTTGTTCAGTTTAGGCCTCCCACAATTGTGAACCCGAGAACAGATGAAGATGACGATTCTGATGAGGATGAACACGAAAGTCAGAGGAAGAAAGCGAAAGAGACAATATCTACAGCGTCTGCAACCTCATTCTTGTCCAGTATTCCGGCACCCAAGCACTCGGCCACTCTCGGCAGCTTGCCTTCGGCATTGGGTAGGAGATCGATGCTGGAAACAGATACTCGAGCCTCCATTGCAACTACGGGAAGTGATTCAGTTGTTGGCCCCGTTAAGCCCAGTGAGGTGAGTCATGGCTATTCTGGTTTGAATTCTGAGAGTGCATATTCTGATGAAAATGCTGCTGATGGTAATTTTGATTTGGCCCCTGAAAGTGGGATTAACATGGGAATTGATGTTGGCATGAATCACATTAATACTGTTAACGACTATTTTAGTAGTTCAGGTGGTGAAAGCTCTGCATATTATGGTTATTATGGCATTGGTCCCTCGGAAAATGAAGGGTCCGATGGAGTTCCTGATTACCCATACGGAAATGGGGATTATGCAGCTTATGCTGGTGGTTATGGGGATTATGATAATAATGCACAGTATGGAAATAATTGGAACAATATAACTGGCTTGCCTGAGCCTGAGGTGTCGGGAGCTGTTGAACCTTCTTTTCCGATTCCTGGCAAGAGGGGCCGGAAAGATGTTCCACCTCAGATAATTGAAGTGAAGCAGGATGAGTTGATAAAAAACCGACCAAGGGAGGATCAAGTTAAAATGACTGGGGTAGCGTTTGGCCCTGCATATCAGGTAACTTTCATATTTTTATGTGCTCGTCTGAAGTTATCCTTACGGGGTCTGTAGTTTACTTCTATTTGTACTGCTTCTGTACTTTTGTAACGTTCGATTTTTACCTTGCTTAATAGTAGGAAAGCTCATTGTTGTATGCATAATATAACATCACAATTAGATCTTTCTGCTGGACGCTGGCTTAAGTAGATCTTGGTCATTTTTTATTTTTTATTTGGCCTTTTGTTATGAGTGTTAAAAGTAATTTACGTCGTATATGCCGTTTTATGTCGTTGTGTACTGAACACAACTAAAGAAAGTATGAACTAGCCAAGGCTAGTATCTTGATCATTTTTCTTTTGGCTTTTTGTTATGAGTGTTAAAAGTAAATTTACGTCGTATATGTTGTTTTATGCCGTTGTGTTTGAATTTTTTTGGATAATTGTTTGGTATCATTACCTAAGTGAATGACTTATGTTGTCTGATGAGTGTGTTGATTTACAATTTGTACCTTTAGTCTTCGATACTCAAAAATGCACTAGATCTTTTTGAGCTGCAACTTGTTTTACATTCTGCCTTGTTTGCAGCCAGCTTCAACCAAGGGTAAGCCCACCAAGTTGCATAAAAGAAAGCATCAAATCGGCTCTTTGTATTTCGACATGAGACAGAAAGAGATGGAACTTGCCGAGAGACGTGCCAAAGGTTTTCTTACCAAAGCTCAAACGCAAGCCAAGTACGGATGGTGACATCATCCATCTGTTTGCGCAGGGCTGTAATGTGCTAATTGTAAAATATTGTCCTTGAAATTTGGCCTAATTGCAAAAGACACCAACTGGTCTTTATGATTACAATGACATACTCGATTATTTTTTTTTATTTCACAAAATGCCAAAAACATAAACGAGGAGATGTTGTACCTGAGGTTCTTTTTGCAACTAAGCAAGTTTTCGGGGCAGTTTTTGTAGTTGTGCCTGATGTAGCTCTCCAAGTTTGTTTTTGGGAAAGTGTCGTTTCTGTTGCATTGTTTCTTGTGATTTGCTTAATAAAAACACTTGAATGTATTGCAATGGTCGTGCAAAGTGGGAAAACCGTAATTTTTAATTTTGAGACTTGAATTTTTGTGTTGATTCAATCTGTAAATCTTTATTGTATTGATATGATATCGTTGAGTGTTCCTTTTGCAAGCATTTGATGGTGGAGATGGGCAATTTTTTTGCAACAAAATCACTATTATAATTTCTACCTCTGAAAAACCTTCNACAAAAACAAAAATTTTTTCTAGCAACACATTGATGTGTAGTACTATGTGGAATATTACGAAGACCTTACACAATCGTGGGGATCTATAATTGCCAAATTTCTCTATGTAGTACTTTATGCTGCAGGAAGTAACATAATCTGGATTTTTAGTTACCTAATTTTAGCTTCATTAATTTCTAACTCTGCTATTTATGGTACCCTCAACTCATAAGCATTTGATAGTCGAGATTCTAACAAGTGTGTTTGCTTTCGATTTGCTTCTCAATGTTTTACAGAGCTAGATCTTGCACAAGATGATTGGCAGTGTTAGAAGATACATATAATGTTGGGGGTAAAACACCAAACGCAGCGGACAAAACTACCTCTCCAACAAATATGGCAAGCACTACTCCAAACGAAAATAAACCAACACAAATAAATAAAAGACAAAAAATAAAAAGGACACAAAAATTGATAACGGAGTTCGGCGAAAATAGCCTACGTCTGGCACCACCAACCGCAACGCCAAATTTACTAAACTCATCAACAAATACAACTAGGTTAAATAACCCGCAAATTAAGATTTCCTTAATTAAGGATTTCCTACCAAGAGAGGAGAGAATAGAATAAGGTGCAATTGTAACCCAAAGGCAAGAGACCTATTTATACTAATAAGATCCTACACATCTTTGGTATACATCCGATGTGGGACAACAAATTAATCAAAATCTAACATATAAATGGTCTTCAAAGAGGATTCTAATCTGAAGTGTATCCAGAGAAAAAAATTGGACCAGTTAAAAATCTAAAAGCCAAAAAAAAAAAAAAAGGACTTAAATACAGAGATAAACTCATTTTAGCTTCAAAATTAAAAATGTTCGATTTTCTTGTTCATAATTACCTTAAAGGTATCCCTTATGAGGGTCCTCTAAGATTAAGAAAGGAGATCAGTAAAGGTTATTTGTCATTTCGAAACTCAGAGCGAAAACTTTCTGTTTTTTCTAATAAATGCTGATAAAAAAAATGTCATTTTTCAATTTCCAATTCAGAGTCAACAAATCCTTGGTACAGTAAATGCAAGAGTGATTTCCACCAGTAGTACCTTAAACAAAAACTCGTTCAAACGATCTCAATGAGTTTTGTTCTTTTTCTGTTCATGTAACTCGAATGCTTCGCATATCTTCTTCCAGCTATGAACAACAATGGTGGTGGGGATTATAACCCACCATATATTGGCCATGACGTAATAAGCGTAATAATAAAACTCGTTCGTGGCAAAATTATCCCCCTCCAGTATAGCCGTAATGAAGTAAACAGCAGTCCCGTAAAGCTGGCCTAGAGAGATTGCTATTTGAAGTGTATAGCTGTAAGACTTTCTCATTGCTATAGCATACCTGTTAGATACCGAAGATTAGTCTCTAAAGGGTTAGATCAAGAAACTCAAAGAAAATGAATTAATTAGAAAAATGACCTAAGCTTCTTGGGAGTTCACAAAAGTATGCTAAAAATTGCAACTTTATAAAATCCATCCAGAGGTTTTTTTATAACTGAACTCCCCAGCTTTTTTTCCTAAATTAGTAGAAATGGCCAAGACAAACATTTCGTGTGGGCTATTTGTAGTATTTGGAAGAACTTAAAGGGTGCAACTGAAAACAATAAAAAACGGTTCGGAAGTTTTGGAAATTATAGAAAATGGCCAAGACAAACATTTCGTGTGGGCTATTGTCGTATTTGGAAGAAGTAAAAGGGTGCAACTGAAAACAATAATAAAAAAGATTCAAAAAATTCGGAAATTTTTACACTGCAAGGAGACAAGCGGGGCCCTCGATGGCAGCAGTAATTCCTTCAACAGCGACCACACCAGAATCTCGTCCCGCATAGCGAGAGTCGCCTTTGCTATATTCTTTCCCTATAATTTTTTTTTAAAATCAGTAAGCATATTGATATTATCATGAGATGTGAGGACCCAACCTGTGGATAAACTAACGATGAATGATTGAACTTACAAACTTCAGCAAGGTAATGTGGGGTCTTCTCTTTGTAAAATTCGGGAGAGAAAGCAAAGTAGCCCTCGAGGATAATGTGGGTTAGGCCAGTGAATATCCACCAGCACATAAGTAGTCTGTCGACCTTTGATATCTTACGAAAACGCCCTAGTAAAAAATATATATGAAAATTTTCAATTAAAATTTCCTTCTGGACAATTCCAATCAGTTTTACATGTTGAAAGTTTAATGATAGAAAATCTCTGCTTCAGTAAGTGCAGAAGAAGCACACAGGAAAAAGAAAAACCACATCAATGGGGAACACTCGGAATATATTCATGTATTGGTAACTTGAAAATTAAATTAAAATAAAATATATATTAGCAAGAAGTCAATCAGACAAATACGAAGCAACCAGAAAA